GGAGCCCCCCCGGCCCCGAGCGGCTCCGGGAGGCCTCGGCCGCGGAGCCGCCGCCCTCCTCCTTTGTCCCGGCCCCGCTTTGTCCCTGCGGGACCCCCGGGATGCGGCTCCCGCTCGGGGCCCGGGCCCGCGCTCCGGGAGCGGCCGAGGCCTCCTCGGGAGGCTTCGGGAGTTGCTCGGGGATTTCCGGGCCCGCTTCGGGCAGCCCGGCTTGGCTCGGCTCGGTTCGGTTCGGCTCGGCTCGGTTCGGTTCGCTCGGAGCGGGAGCGCGGATCCCAGCCCGGGGGAGGCGAGGGCGGCCGGTCCGGGCACCGGGAGAGTCCCGGGGTGTCCCCAGCCCTGTCCCCGAGACAATCCCGGCGTGTCCCCGGGAGCATCCCGGGGTGTCCCCAGGATGTTCCCCCGAGAATCCCGGAGTGTCCCCAGCCCTGTCCCCTGGAGCATCCCGGGGTGTCCCCCAGAGCACCTCGGGATGTCCCCAGGATGTCCCCAGGAACTCTGGGTGTCCCCAGGATGTCCCCAGCCCATTCCTGGCCCTTCTCCTGCCACCTCGCCTTGTCCCCTCCCCGCAGGGACCTGGCCTCCCTCAGGGAGATGCCACCACCGTGTCCTGTCACCTCTCACTGTCCCCTCCCCGTTAGGGACCTGTCCCCACCCCTGTCCTGTGCCCTGCAGGGACATGCCACCACCCTGTCCCCTCACTGATGCCACCGCCCTGTCCCCTCACTGATGCCACCCATTGTCCCCTCACTGATGCCACCACCCTGTCCCCTCACTGATGCCACCGCCCTGTCCCCTCACTGATGCCACCCGCCCTGTCCTGTCCCCTGCAGGGAGATGTCACCTCTCTGTGTCCCCTCCCTGATGCCACCACCCCTGTCCCCTCCCCTTTAGGGACCTGTCACCATCTCTGGCCTGTCCCCTGCTGGGAGATGCCACCACCCCTGACCCCTCCCTGCTGGGAGATGTCACCACCCTGTCCCCTCCCTGATGCCACCACCCCTTAGGGCCCTGTCACACCCCTGTCCCCTCCCTTAGAGACCTGTCCCTGTCCCTGTCCCCTCCCCTTAGGGACCTGTCACCTTTCCTGGTGGCACCTGGCGCTGTCCCCTCCCTGCTGGGAGATGCCACCACCCCTTTGCTGTCCCCTTGGGAACGTGTCACCTGTCAGTGTCCCCTCCCCTCAGGGACCTGTCACACCCCTGTGCTGTCCCCTCCCTGCTGGGACGGGCCACCACCCTGTCCCCTCCCTGCCGGGACGTGTCACCACCCTGTCCCCTCCCTGCCGGGACGTGTCACCTCTCCGTGTCTCCTCCCCGATG